GTATGCGAAAGAAGCCTGCTCTGTGTCACAGGTATGCCTAAGTCTACCATTGTGATCCACCTGTGTTCACTGAGTGTAACCTGGGTGTACCGTTTAGCCCTGGGTCTTATTTTATTTTTTTATGTTTCTTTCTTCATCATATTCTTTTTCTTCTATGAGAAACACTCTTTGGTAATATCTGCAGGAATGGCAAAAAAGACTTTTTATTGTGAGATAGAGTTGTCTCCTGCATATGCTACATAAGGGATGGTAATAATTTTTTTAATGGCCACACATATGGAAAAGGTCTCTCATTGCTTTACACTCTCCACTGGATTTCTCCTCTACTCCTTCTGGCTTCCTGTTGTTCCCTGCCAAAAAGATGTTTTTCTGTCATTCTTTGAAGCCATTTAAATTTTACTTTGGAGTGGGCTCCAATTTGTTGAAGTGTGGTACACTGATACAAATCATCATAATTTTTAAGGTTTGAAATAGAGCCTATTAGGAATAAACACAGTTAAATAATTGTTTAAAGGATCCCACCAGGAGGAAAACTTTTAGGAGGTGGAAAACCCATATAACACTGAAAATTTACAATCATTTCCAAAATGCATTTGTGAGTCGCTGGCTGCCAAAATGCTGAGGGCACTGTGTATAAGCGATAAACATCGTGGACTCAGTAAATGAGCTCTACTAGAGACTTTCTAAAAGAAAACCCCAGAGAGTAATGGGTTCCACTGGAGAAAAGGGAAGTCCTTTTAAAAGAATGAAGCATTACATTTTCTAATTAGGTTTCAGGCCAAAGGTTGAGTAACTTAGTGGGGAATCCAGAGTCATCCCTGGATTTCTCATCCTCACACCACTTAGCTACTTTCTCTCTGGAAGTTTCTAACATTGTTAAATGAAAGAACAAAGTGGAGCAGGAGTTTTGAAAAACTGGATTATAAAAGACTGTGGCCTTCTGAAATATTTGAAACCTGGGACTCTGAAGAGAGGAGGGTGTGTGTCAAAAAGTCTCAAGACTGTACACACGAGAAAACAAGAAACTCATTAGAAAAGAAAGTGGCAGTATGCCCTGTAGTCCTCTGACCTGTCCTTGTGTTTAAACCTTTTCTTCTCTGGGTCCCCTATTCCAGGCAGGATGCCCCAGAGGCGCTCCTCCAGGTGGGGAGGTCACCGTGTGCCTATCCTGTGGTAAAGAGGACAGAGCAGCCCCGGTGGAGGACAGGCCTGGTTTGTGGGTGTAGGGGAGGTTTCTAGTAGCTCTTTTCATTCTTCCAAGTCATGACATTGGAAAACCAATTCTGAAGAAAGGGGACAGTAGCTGATTCAAATCACTGTGGAGAAGATGGCCAAGAAAATTCGGAATCTTCGTCCTCATGCACCCCCTAGTGTAGGATGAAAGGTAGTTCCTTGGTTACTGGGCTGAAGCTGAAAATCCTTCAAGCCATTCTCAATCACCCCCTTTGATAAATAGGACGTATTAAGGGGAAATAAATGGGAAATAAAGTCCAGTAATGAGTTAAATTTGCAACTGCAACAATTGCAGACTACAAACTAATAATCATTTAAAGAAAGCAAGCAGCTTTGATATACTCAGGACTCAAATGTGAAGAAAGTGGGCAGACTCTAACTGTTTAGACCAGCTTCTCAAATGTTAATGTGCATGTGGGTCACCCAAGGATCTTGCTAAAATTTTTGATTTGGTAGTTCTGGGTGGAGCCCTCAATTCTGCATCTTTAACAAGCTCCAAGTGGTATAGAGGATGCTGGTCCACAGACTACACTTTGCTAGCACTTCAAATAGCATGCAGGGCTAGTTTGTCCCCTCTGATTGGCCTGTGTGTTTTATAGTATTCTGAAGTTCTGCTAGAGCTGCCGTCTCCACCAACACTCCAACCAGCCCTGCTAGCACACTGCAATGATTCCCTCATTCATTCGGTGGCACTGTAAATTTGTCAGCTCAGAGATAATTCTTTTTTATTTTCTGAACTTAAATAATATTTACCAATTTGCATTTAACTGTTTGTAACGCTGGATTGTTAATGACTACATATTACTGTGTGATCTCATGATTTATGAGTTGGTTTTGTTTTCCCAGCTAAGTTGTCTGCTTATAAGAATAGGGGCTGTCATACCACTTTGTTTCTTCCATGGGGGCATGCACAGTGCAGGGCATATAAGAGACAATGACAAAATTTGTTGATTCCTACTGTCAGCTTTGTGTGTGTGTGTGTGTGTGTGTGTGTGTGTGTGTGTGTGTGTTTTGCGGTACACGGGCCTCTCACTGTTGTGGCCTCTCCCGTTGCGGAGCACAGGCTCCGGACCCGCAGGCTCAGCGGCCATGGCTCACGGGTCCAGCCGCTCCGCGGCATGTGGGATCCTCCCGGACCGGGGCACGAACTCGCGGCCCCTGCATCGGCAGGTGGACGCTCAACCACTGCGCCACCAGGGAAGCCCCCTACTGTCAGCTTTGATATGAAAAAATTTCAGATCTCTTTCCTAAGACTGAATTTTGATTCTTAGGTGGCAGAGAGAGGAAGAGTTGGGAAGGCACCATGTTCCTGTAAGAAGTGAACAGAGGATGCTGGGGAAATTTTGGACCTCTTCTAGCAATCAAGATAAATATATCCCGGACCTCAACACTTTGCCTAAGGCTTTCCTTAGAGTTAGGTGGCTTGTTTTGAATTCTATTTAGGTTTGTACTTAAGATGACATATGTAAAAATGTTCAGACATCCTGAGCAGAGGAAACAACAAAAAATAGATTTGAAAACAGTACACATGACATGACTGAGGAAAAAGTTAAGTGCTTTGAAGAAATATAAGATGAGATTTTCAAGTCAGGAGAAAGATATTGTATAAATAGGATAAATAACCCTTCTCTATTTTCATTGTGAAAGGTGAGAGAAGGGTTACAATGCCACAGGCTTGAGTACAAGCTATACTCTCATGCTTGAGAAATGAACAGATTAGGTGGCTTCACATTCCATAGGGCTGGGTGTTTTTAAGACAGAAATGTCTCACACTTTCCAGAGCAGACCATGCTGAAATGGGCAACAAGATAAGATGTGAGTTCCTGGCCATAGGCAATCACTGAGCTGTCCTTGTTGCCTAAAGACTTTTTAATTCTGCCTGTATGGGCTAGGAAAGATGACTTCTGAGTTCCCTGACAAATCTGAGAGTCAGAGAGTTTTAAAAATAATTAACACCTATTATTAATGACTATGTATTGTACTGATTGATAATTATAATAGTTATTCATAATTATTTTGTGCAATAGACTTTCAGAATCTAAAGGCTCCCTAGAGGCCAATAGAAGCAATACACATCTTTTTTCTATAGCAGCGTCTCTCCTTACGTACCCCTGAGAGCTACAACATCTATAGGTTCTGCTCAAACACCTCCAGCTAAAAGGAACTCCCTGTGTGCCAAGACAATCATTTCTGTGGGACAGTATTTTTCTGTCATTAGAAAAATAACTCATCTTCGCTGTAATAATTTTAGAAAACAAAAGAGAAAAGCACAAAATGAAATTTAAAAATATCTACAATACTATCACCCAGAGAAAACCACTATTAACCTTTTGATGTATATGCCCAGGTGTGTGTGTGTGTGCACGCGCGTGTGTGCACATGTGTATACTTTCATTTTGAAAAAATCATACTACCCATATTTTAGAACCAGCTTTTATCATCCTTTGTCATTAGTATTTTTCCATAACGTCAGTTTCAGAGGCTGAATAAGCATATATATATTTTTTTAATAGCTATAATTACTAAAAATTATTTTCTTTCTATCAAGTTGAAACTTACCTCTTTATAATTTATATACATTGGTCCTTTCTCTGCCCTCCAGAGCTACATGCAATAAAAAGTGTCATCCTTCTTTTCCACACAGCTCTTCAAATATGTGGAGACTGCTTTCAGATCTCCCTGAGTCTTATTTTTGGGTTTCGATCAGCCGCAGGTTTTCAGGCCTCTTTACGGTTCTCAGGCTCCACTATCATGAAAGCTCTCCTCTGGATTAATTTCAGTATGTCATTTTGCCCAAAATTGGATACAATATTTCAGGGAAGATTAAAAGATGACTATCACCTCCTTTTTTTGGTGGAATTTGGAATATTTGTATGTAGCCAGTGTCCTGTTCACTTTTTGAAGTCTCGACTTGTTGTTGACCTACTGTCTTCCATGTCTTACTCTCATACCTGCTGCTCTTGAGTTATCACAATCTCCACCACCACCCTGCTACATCTTCTAATCATGCACTCAGGTTGCTCTTAGCCTGAATGCATAACTTTTTGTATATTCTTTCATTAATCCAACACATACTCATTGAACACTTGTTATGTGCCAGGAACTGCTGGGGTACTAGGGATACGATGGCGTTCTCTGCCCGTCAACAGACTTAGCAATCTGTAATAAAGAAAGGGACAGAGCAAGATGCTACAGAAGCACACAGGAGTCCTTACATGGTCCAAGCCTTGGGTAAGACCTTGCTGAAGAAATATGATTTAGGTGAAGACCTGAAGGAAGATTGAGATTCATTCTTGTGAGATTCAGCCCATTTTCCCAGCCCACAGAGATAATTCTGGATCTCAATTTAATTATATTTTTCTTTTTTTTTTTTGGTGAAGGATAAAAATGGCAACTACATTATCGTATGAATTGTCAAGAAATGGTAAACGTAAGAGAGCCCAGGACAGGTTTTTGTGACACCATAGACCTTTCCCCAGACTTTTCCAGATCTATCTAGTTGTGTTTTGCATTAAGAAACTTTTCTCAATGAATCTATTTGCAGTGGGTAAAGAATATGGTTAATATGAATTTACTTAATTTTTTACTTTAGGATTCCTTGCTTAAATCGCTAATGTGCTTAGCCTCCAAAGGCTTGTTTTGGATGGAGTGTGGACATGACATTTCACACAAGCTCCTGATGCTCTGGAAGTGAGCTGTTGATCGCGAGCTCTGGCTTATGAAGCAAATGTCTGCCATTAAAGCTTCTTGGCTCCTTGCGTGGCGTTCCTAGAAGTTGCTCTCAGCTGGATGACGAGCATATGTTAAACTGTGTTTTCCTTCACATACCGCAGGCTTCCTCCATTATTCTTGTCCATGTTTCCATGCTCCTTTTTGCTCTTTTAAATAATCGTGGGCTCATCATTCCTCCAAGTCCCACTCTGGCTCTGCAATATCCAAAGGGACCAATTCAGTTCCCAAAGAGTCAAGCATTTGTTTACACCCCAAATACAAACAACTGAGAGACTAAATGAATCTTTCATTTTCCAACCTATTTTGACATTGTGGAGACACATATTCATCTTTTCTTGTTCTCACTCACCTTGAGCAACTACCTGGATAGAAAAAATGTAAAGCAATATTTTCTAACAGCAACATTGATTTCTTTTCCTGAATTGTTGCTTCATTTTATCATGTAGATGTGCTTTTGATACATTGATTGTAAACTCCCAGAAAGACTGGGTGGCTTGCTGTAAAACGTAGTGAGTGCGACCCAGGGCCTCTGGTTACTATCAGTGACCATCTCAATCTCAGGCATGGGCTGGGGACACAAGAAGGAATCTCTGTCCTTGCAAAGTAAATTGCTGTTGAACATTATATGGCTGATATACTTCTTTGTGTGGAATGGTAATTCTTTTTGAAATTACTTCCAAACTTGGTTTAAATACAGTCTTGCCAAAAAAGCCAGACTGTCCTTCCCCTCTCGGAACTCTGTGCCTTCATTCAGTTAAAGAAGCATTTTTCAGGGACCATCTCTTCTGTTTTGCTGCTGCTATTTGATATTATCTAATGTTTTTCCATGAACTTACTGAAAGATTAGGCTGTTTTCTTTTCGGATTTATGTTGTAATGCCATCATTTATACAAATTCATGGTAGGCCTGTTTTGGGAGTTTTTAATTTTTAATTTTGGCCATAATGTTACTGAGTTTCTGGGCAGAGAATGCCTTTTTTTCTGTCTGGCAGTGAGTCACGGTTTTAACACCTTGAAAGACTTACCAGAGGCTCCTTTCATACACGTGGGTGCACTTTGAAAAAGCATTGGGTTGAACTGGCTGATGCGACATTTAGGGTAGCTCATTGGCAGAGAGCTTAGAGAGCAGAGGTAGAGGGGTATTTTATTGGACGTCTCAGGTGAGGTGAAAGTTCGCCTCGATCTCCACTGCCGACTTTGATGACACAAAGAAAGTGTTTCTCCCAGATACCAGGCATGAGGCAGACCCTCAGCAGGAGACAGGAAGACTGTCAGGTTTTTACATTTAGCAAGAAATTTTTTTTTAATGATACTTTGATGTCATTCTTGGAGCTATCAGACACGTAGGATCACTGAACATTTCTGCGCTCTTCTGAACCTGTGATGTACAAACTAGCAACTATTTTCAGGTCACATTCTTTTAGCACAGGGTGCTACATTTTATTTTCATCTTAGCAATGACTGAGTCCTCTTGCACATTACTGAATGTTTTACTCATTTAGGAAAATAACTCTGGCTGGTCAAAAATACTCATTGAAGTGTTCAAGTGTGATATTTATTGATTCTCTAATATTTCACAAGTGCTCTGTCGAAACATTAGATTAAAATGCTACGAGCAATTAATAAATTCTTGGCAAAGTTTATTTATTCACCCATTTATCTATTCATTATGGAACACATACTTATTGAAAAGTTGTTCTGTACCTGGCATTGACGATATAAAGATGAACAAGACACTGGTTTGCCTTCAATGAGTTCACAATCTACTGGTACATCCAGGAATGTCAGAAGAAAATTACATTCAGTGTGAAGACTATCACTCTAGAGGGGAAAAGAAGGTGATTGGGGAAATCACAGAAAGGGTTCATTTTATTGTTTATAAGGGGAGGAGGCAGAGGACCAGGGAGGACTCCAAGAACTAGCTACATGCACACAGCCTTCTGGGAAATGCTAATGTAACTGGTGAGACCACAGTACCCCACCCAGAGCAGCAGGTATCAGTTTGACACAGGATCTGATTACGCGCTAACTGTGGGACACAGGGCATTGGTGCTGTGGGACTGCAGGGGAGATGGTGGTCCATGAAGGTGGGAGTCATCATGAAAGCCTCCACGCTGGAGCTTATGTTGAGCATTAAAGACGGTTAGCATTTTGATAGGCTTTTCACTTGTATATCTCATATAGGACAATCCAAAACAAGAACACTACCTATTGTAGGGGATGGAGGTACCATATATGTTTCCTGGAGATTATAGAGTATATGATACAAACCCGATTTCTTCTTAAGTGATAAACCCTCAGGTAGGGTTGGGGGACTCTACATGCACCACAAACAGATGCCTCCTAAGGTTGAAACTGAACAAATATTTATAGTGAAAGTAACAGAACTGTCACACATTTTGAAGGGAACAAACGTGGGGATACATTGTAAGGAAATGCTGAGAACGGGTCCGTTTCTCAGCAGAAAAAAGAAGTAGCCTTTCACAGTTTTACAATTATTTATATGTTTTTGTTGATCACATGAAAAGCACAAGATGGAAATTCAGGAATGTTGAGATGATATGTAACTTTCTGGGAAGGGAATTTAAGGACCTCTAGTTCACTGAAGGGGGCAAGGGATGTGATGATAGAGAAATGGAACACGGACTGCAGTACTCACGGACCATACATCTGTGCCGCAGGTAGTGAACAGATGAAACGAATTAAAATCATGTTTCTACTACTCATTTCAACCCACTTGCATAATTCTGAGCCAGCTTCTGAAAGGAGGCTTAGCTGAGCTTCCTCTTCTGTAATTCCTGATAAACGGCGATATGCTGGCTGCATACAGATAACTATGAGTTCTGAAGACATGAACTAAAGAAGACAAATCCCTGACAGCCAAGAGAGTATAATGGGGAATAAGCTGGGTTAAAGCAATTAAACCAGAAAATCCTTGTGACCAGAAAGTTCATGGTTTTACTCACAGCTGCTATCTTTCTGGGGCCATTGGCTGGTGAGATTCAGGAAGTACCTTGGAGTAATGGCTTCCACTTAGTGGGGAAGAATTCTTTAGGCAGAGCTCGTTCAGATGTTCTTTTCTCTCCAAAAGTCAGGGTGATCTGTCAAAGCCCTTCTATGGCTGTGGGACAAAGAAGAGAAGGTATTCTGTAGCAGGCAAGTGGCAGCAATCCCTCCCAAGCTGTAGAGTGGGCCCTGGAGACGAGCCATGCTTTCCACAGTTCTTGAATTTGCATGAGTCTATGCATTCACAAGTAGGAATCGAAATAGCTAGAGTTATATAAAGACAACTGATGCAGACTCTGAACTTTAATGTGTGAATATCGTGAAATCATAGAAGACACTAAGAATTCTCCAAATCAGTCTATAAAGAAGGTCACATACAGACTGGTACAGAATATTAGGAGGATTTTTGCCCTGTTCTGAACAAGGCTTACAAAAGGAAGATAAGGACAGGGCAATGATAGAAATACTTGCCTTCCAGGTATCCGGCTAAGTGTTTTATCAATACTTTAGTGAGGAAATTTTGGAGGTAATACAACAAACCACCCTATATCAGTATGTTAGTTGTTGTAACTCAGAATTTTTCAGCATAATATTAATAAATTATACATTTTATGTTTATAACATCAGTTCACGATCTAGCTATCTGTCTGTCTATCTATCTAATTTAAATAAAAATAATCCTATCTGAACCAGCTACAGAAAGATATTCTAACTAGGTGGGTCCAACTGATATTGGCAGAGACAATAAGCAGCAGACTTCACTAAATGGTGCCCGAACAAGGCGGATTCCCCGCTGGGTGTGCCAGATGGACAGCTACAGGTTTATGCTTGTTACATAGATCCACGGAGTGTTTGAGAGCCGGAACAGACCCCAAGTCCAATGCCCTTCTTTATATAGGCAAAGATGCCGCAGGCCAAGGGGACTTCCTGAGGAACGGAATTTCACCCCCAGGACTCGAACCCTGGGCCTCAGCTCCCAGTTGGGAGTACACCAAACAGTCTTGAAACAAAGAAAGGGGAATCAATGTTGATGTCCAGTAGGAAGGTACTGTGAAATATAAGCATTTTGATCCACTCTCCAAGGAATGACATTTCCCAACTTGATAAACGTATCCTGGATATTAAACAACCATGACAAAGAAGCCAGCAGAGAACTTAGTTAGAAGTTCTCTTGCTCTTTTCGTTTACTCTGACTACCAGAGAGAGTGTATATCTCTTCAGTTACTTCTCTTTCCTCAGCATGGCTGGGAAACAATGAATTTGAGAAGGCTGATGGTGAGAGCGCTGAGGGAATGGAGCCGTGCAGGGAACTGGGTGGCGGCGGCTCATGTGTCCCATTGTCTAGGTGGGCACAGCCGTGGCCTGACCAATCAATCAGCACTCAGGAGGAGCTGGAGTTCCTCCTGCCTGTCTTTCTAATCAGAAGTAAATCCTACTAGACTATACGAGTTCTCATCATAAAACAGGGGGAAGTCCACTTTTATTTATTATGAGAAAATAAATACCACTTTCTCTTTTGAGCAAATACGAGTATTTCTAAAAACACATCAGCAACACCTTTTAGAAGAGTTTTGAGCTTATAGGGATGGAAACACCTAGGGTGGAAATTCCTTACTGGGAGCGAGTTTATGAGATGCAACCTCTTTGCTTAAGAGCTTAAGGAAAAGTCTTGGGAATTCCAAGCTGTCAAACATCTCAGAACGAGGAGTGAAACACGGAGGGAAACATAAGGAGAAATGTCTGGGAACTCGTGGATGATCACACTGCAACTAACCAGGTTCCCCCGAGTCTGCAGAGACTTCCTGCTCCCTCTACGATCCAACACTATTCCTTAAAGGAAATATTCAAGTTGAGAGAGATTCAGATTTAAAGAAGTTGTGTAGCGTTGTGTGGGGAAAATAGACCAAGGGCAGGAGATGGACCTCAGAGGCGCAACAAGATTCAGGTTGGAGAACCAGCATCCAAGCAGATGTCTGTGCTCGCCTACTGTGTTAGAAGATTCTGGAGCACAGCAAGCATTTCCTGCCTCAGTGCATTTGCATCTGTTCCCTCTTACTGGAATACTCTTCACCTAGCTCTTTACAGAGAGACTCTTCTGGCTGTATCATCCTTGTTCCCTGAAGTCCTACTCTTCTTTTAGAGGATGCCATTCACATCTTTAATAACATGAATCACAGTCTACGCTTTGATTTTATTGCAGTCATTCCACAAGTACTCGTGAGCACCTATTCTATCTCAGGCACGTTCTACGCATAGGGAATAAGGCAGAAAGGAAAGTGGCAAAAGACCCCTGATCCCTGGGCTCACCTTCCGGGGTGGAGCGCTACCAAGAGCCCACACTGAGGTAAGGCTTTCCCTGTGCCAGGCCCTGCCCTTGGCTCTGGCCCAGCAATTCATTTACCCCACACCGAATCTCAGAGGTGGGCACTTTTAATACCTTCCTTAAGCAGACGAGGAAATGGTGGCATAAGATGGTTAAGACAATTTGCCTTGGGTCACACAGTTTGTTCATCATTCCTTGGTTTAAGGACAGATCTTTGCTTATGATCTGTCTTTCCCAGTGAAATATAAGCTCCATGAAGTTAGGGACCATCAGTGTCTTGTTCCCTGGTGTATCCTCAACATCTGGTACATAGGAGGTGTTTATAAATACTTACAGAACGAGTGAAAGAAAAAGAAGTGTCCTTACAAATACCCATTAGGACCGTCTGGGCTATTTTAGTAAAAAGGCTGCACATTTAAGAAAATGCTATTTCCATCCCTGTTGGCTGTACAATGGCAAAATCGGGCCATCTTCATCCTTGCCTTCTACCACATAGAAATGCATTTATTGTATAGCCATGTTAAACTACTGTGTGCTTGTCGGTTAATACTGAAACTGAAGTTTAAATTCTTCCTTTATTACTGCCTCTTTTCTCCCCTATTTATTGATGCTGCTGGGTTTAGTCTTCAGGAAGCCAAGCCGAGTTCCTGAAATGAAAACCACCTTCCCTCAGCTTGGATTTGGGCTGCATGACTCAGGGGCTGGCTCCGACACCCTGACATCAGAACTCAAAAACCAGAAGTTTGGAAGAGGCTTTATTCTGGTATCTAAGTAAGAAGGAAATACCTGGTGCATCTTGTCAGCCTTGAAGAGGAAAAAGAGAGTAATCGTCCTAATAAAAGGGTGGTCTCCTGGGTGAAGGTGAGACTGTTTACAAGCATATGTCTTGTGCGCACTTGGCTTTGCACCGTGGGGCAGGATGTTCATTGTAGCTCCATGGAAGCTGCTCTCTGTTGTTTGTGAACTTTGACACCTTGGAGCTGCTTTGGAGTTGCTGATAATTATTAGGATTCCAAATTAGTGAATTAATGGAATTCACACATGATTGAACATAATCAAGAAGAGGCTAAAACCAACTAAACCAAAAGGAAAAGTCTCCATAACTGGTGTATTTATGGAAAGGTTTCTCAGCAAGTGGACAGAAGATGTTAATGACCACGATAATAGGCGTGCTGCTATGATTGTCTGACACTGGGCTAAACCTTTAGTGACACCTCCTTTTTTTTTTACAATATTTCTTGTTGTAAAGAGGATTATCCCTGTTTCACACTTCAGTAGGCTCACTCAGCCTGTCGAGATGAAGTTGGGATCCAAACCTGGTTCTGATTGACTCCAGGGCTTAGTTAGGGCTTAAACCACCATGTCATGTATTTTTGAGGATGCTCTTCAGGGCCTCAGGGAAAGGAGAGGGGGTGGGAACGGTGACCTCTCGTTCCAGGTATCTTCCTTTTCACCTGCTTGGTCTGGCACGTGGACCTTGCTAAGACATTGGGCTGGAGAGGAAGATCTTCTGGGATTTTTAAGATGTTCCCCCTGGCCTGCCCTGCCACCCTGCATCCTAGAGAGTCATTTGGTACATTTGGGAGAGGAGTCAAGAGAGAGGGGGGACCCATTTACTCCTCACGAGTATTTTGCAAGAAGGTGTTAACTACCCATTTTACGGAGAGAACACTAAGATGCAAGACAGAGATTAATTTGCACAGTGTCACATAGCTTCTCAATGGTAGAATTCCTATTTGAGCCCCAGTTTTTCTCAGTCAAAAGTTTTGTTCCTTCCAAGACTAAATCGAGTCCCTTTCCCGTGGAGGTTTCCCTTCTCGTGTCTGGGTGACTGGCGTGGGTGCTTCTTCCTCAGGGGAGGGACACAGGGTGAAGCCAGAGACCCCACTGCCCTGCAGTTTCTTCCACGTCATCCCCTCAGTGAGGCCTCTCATTCCATGTCTGGTTACTTGTGGAGGGATTGTTTATTGAGTTGTTGACTGTTATTTTGTTCTTGGGGCCAGGTCTCTGTGTTCCCTCATCTTGGAAAGGTGTGTGATACAGGGAGGAAAGCAGGAGTTACGAGGCAAAGAAGGCAATTCTTCTTCTTCGATGCTTAGTGTTCATTGGTGAAAACTCGGGCTTGTCACACTGGATGCTCCTGGAAGAGGAGTGGGCAGATGAATTATACTTCTCGGAGTTCAAAAGAAAGAATTGACTGGGCTGGAAAGGAGGAAAGGAAACTGGGGGCCCAAGAAAGTGTCAGATACTTCTCTCCATCACACACTTAGACACAGAGCCCAAGAAGGGGGGGATTTCTCCGGGGTATGGGGGTGAGGTGGGCGGACATATGACCTGAGCCCCTGGGAGTGTAGGCTTGGCTTGCAACTGAGGGATTCCTTGCCTCTGGGGGACGTCTCGGGGCTGGGAAGCAAGCATCTCAATGATGACCACATATGGACAGAAGACCAGGGCTTTCTAGCATTGTCTAATCCATAAGATTACAGGGAACTTTGCATGACTGGGGAGGTGGAACTAAAACCCCAGTAATGACAGTGATTGAATTTCTCACAGCCTCAGAGAAAAGTGAACTTGGAGCAGATTAAGACAAGAAATAAATGTGATATTTCTTGCACTCTAGTTTTGTGGACCAAATTTTATATCCACTACAGATCCATTTCTTTGGCTGAAGAAAAATTTTTCTTGTAGTTAAACGGACAAATATTCCTGGAAGGAGTTGTATTTATAATCTAGTGTTCCCACCTTGCTAAGGATAAAAATCTCATCCTCAATTG